AACTTAATTATTCCATTATATTTAATACCCACAAAGACATATTTTTCATAACATTTATTTTTTATTTTTTGTATTTTGTATTTTTTTTGCATCAACTACACAGGTTATTAGCTTTTTACAAAATTTTTACATATTTACAATTTACATTTTATCATACAAATCGATATTTTTTAAATATAAGATTATATTATGGTAGTTGGAAAATGGACCGATATTGCTTCGTACGGCCTGTCGGGGATGTCGAAGTGTTTCTTATAACTTCATTAAAGTTTGGGCAGTGGACGATATAATGTGCTTGATGTTTGAAGGAGTAGTTTTCATTGCATGTCGGGCAGAGGGGTGGATCTGTCTTTGCCATAAGGTGTCCATGTGTGAATTTCGTGTGAACAAATCTGAGTCTTTTAAAGAATTACTTCATTTTTTCTGTTTAGATCAGTGTATTTCGGCCAGAGTTCAACAGAGTGCTTAATTTCTCTTAGTAGTTTATTTTCCGTGGTCTTGTGCCATTTAGTATTCCATAAATCAATGCAATATAACATTTTTTATGTTTCAACTATTTGGATAACAATCAAATATATCTCTTTAAGAACTATAGGTTTTCTTTATTTCTTTATTTTTTGTTTTTCGTTTAATGGCTAAAAATTATTAGTTAGTGCTATACRACAAGGGGGGCACTGTGMATTTTTTTTGGAAGGAGGAGGGGGGCTAAATTCGATAATTTTCAAGTATTAATAGTATTTAATATATTTTAAAACATGTACAGAAATCCTAAGACTTGTGCACAGTATTTAACTGACTATAATTTTGTTTATTTATTTTTTTAATTCACGATAAAGATATAGTATATCATATTTCGGTGCTATGTTATTACTGTACTAATTTAGTTGAGGTATAAAATGTATTTATGAGGTAAATATTAGTGTGCTAGTGTTTTTATAATGCATTTAAGATTGGTTATAGTAATTATTACAAAAGTGGAGTATGGTACTTGGGATGTGGGAGACGAGTCTGTTTCACCTACATAATTTTAGCACCCCCCAGTGTTTGGCCTCTAGTTACGCCTTCGCCTATGTTTCTAATGCAATACGTGTGGGTCATAAGAATTTGTGAGCWCTCGTGCGTACAAAAACAATAAATCACGTACTATAATTAAGACTCAACACAGTTGACATACATGACACATTTAAAATGTAATCATTTGTTTAAAAATATTAATTGAATAAATTTGCGTCATTTCAGGCGTTATATAATTGTATGGACAATTCTCTCTCCTCGCCGTCACCGTGTCTATCTACTTACAAGTTATTATTAAAAGTGTAAACAGTGTATCAAATTGCTAATTGCATTCGAAATTTAAATATTCAAGAGAAATATAAAAAATATTAATGCATTAACGCATAAAAATAAAATATATTAATATTATGTAGACTACATTTGTCGGTAAGCAAAACACTGTTGCGACGCAGTAGAGAATTCACAATTATTCACATAAGTATAAAACAATGCTGATTAAAAAAATAACCAAAACATATAATACTACCGATATTAATATATTATCAACTGTACTATAATACGACGGTCTAAAAAATTCTAAATTTTTTCAGAAATACCTTATTCGTTGTCGGTCAGTTGACATATTGTGCGCGCACGATTACCTTTCGGTCCGTTATCTCGTGTAATAGAAAAACTGCAAATTATRCATTATATTGTATGATCGAATTATACGTATGCGACAATCAGTCAGTTTATAATCGATTTAAAGTTATATATATATGTAGAATTTTCGAAAACATATAACGTAAGCTCAACTGGAACTTCGGAAATACACAATAGTAACTTATTTTTTGGTGAGAAAAAAAAA